GTGGGGGGGTCCTCCTAAGTTATGCCCTAGATCGTTATACCAAGGCTAGCAGCTAGCAGTAGTAGGCATGGGAATGGTTTTTCAGTTTCTGGGTAAAGGGAAGCACTAGCCCTAAACCCTAAACCCTAAAACCCGGCCTGCGGAGGTGCTACGCTTCCGGAACTTACATGCCTGCGTGAGCTCCGGACCCGGCCCTCCAGCACTGCCGTGGCAGATGTCTTGCAGCCTTTTCTGGAGCAGTGGCGCAGGCGCCCCGCCATGGCCACAACAGTTCTGAAACGGTTGGCCATTCAAGGTTACCCTGATCTTGCTGCGAAGGTGCTTTCAGCCATGGCATTGCATGGCATTGAATCGAATGCTTTTCACTATAGTGCAGCGCTGTCAGCCTGTGCATCTGATGGCCAATGGCTTTTGGCTCTCCGTCTGGTCCAAAGCATGGAGGCCTCTAGCACGCAAAAAGATGCTTACGTTGTGAGCTCGCACTTGCGTGCTTCCGCCCAAGCTGGCCAGTGGCGCTCGTCCTTGAATCTTGTGCAGGAGATGTGTCGTTCTTCCTGCAGGCTGGACACGGTCGCCTGCAACGCGTGTTCAACTTCTTGCCAGCATGCAGGCATGTGGCAGAAGTCATGGCGCATCCTGCGACGCATGACCAGGTCTGAGCTGGAGGCAGATCTTCTGACGTGCAATGCTTTGTCAGCAGCACCATGGCCCAAATCGATGCTAATGCTGGGCTTCGCTACCCGTGAGGCACTTCAGCCCGATGCGTTCTGCCTCAACTCGGCGATCAGCAAGGCAGACGAAGCCTGCTGGCACGACGTGCTCAGCATCATTGATGCTATGACGGCACTGGAGCTCGAGCCAGACGTTGCCACCTATGCTGCATCTTTCGAATCTTTTGGCAAGGCACCCTGGCAAGCTGCCTCCGAAGTTTGGAGATTCTTCCAGGGTACCTACATGTCAGATGCTGCAGCTCTCACCGCTATGCTGGGCACCTGCGCAAGCACGGCGCAGTGGCAGGCTGCGCTAGAGTTGCATCAGGGACCTCAGCAGGTGGACCTGATCTCACACAATGCTTTGCTCAGTGCTTGTGCAAAGGGTTACGCCTGGCTTCCAGCCACACTCCTTTTCGTGGAGTTGCCCAGACTTCGGATGCTGCCAGACGACGTGACTCGGAGCTCTCTCCTGGCGTCGCTGTCAGCAGCAGGCCGTTGGGAGCTTGCCCTAGCGATGTTCACGGTGTGGACCAAAACTTGGAGCCTAGCTGGAGTTTCAGGCGCCATTGTGGGTAGCACTTTGATGAGTGCTCTGGCAGCAGGCGGCCAATGGGAGGTGCACATTTCTGAAAATTTCTGCTTTTTTCTGGGTCATTCTGAATTGCACATTTTTCCCCATTCAAGGGGGGCCCCAACTAACTAAGCGTAACGGACTTCTAAGCCCTCCCTGTAACCCCAGTCTCCGAACCCATGACTCAAGTCCTTAACCTGAAGGTTATGCTCAAAATCATGCATGACCCCAATCTAAACTCCTTAAGAGGGGGTTTAGGGTTTAGGATTTAGGGTTTAGGGGGGGTTATATAGAGGATCATATGACCCCCTTGATTTAGGGTTTAGGCTTAGGGTTTAGGGGATTCTATAGGGGAGTATGATAGGGCGTACTAAGGGGGATACTAGGAGGTGAGATCATGGGTTTCATGTGCTTCGTTGCAGTTATTATGATAGTTACGACTGCTATTCTCAATAAGTATTACGATGAACCTCAGTATAAGAAAAGGACACTTTGCACGTGTCATTCTTGTTAGTATAAAGCCAATTACGAGCATTATTAATGTTCCTACTACTTGTATTACCAATTCTTTAGTAACTAGTATTCCCAGTATAAAAGAAGGACATTACACATGTGTTATTGTTTCTATAGCAGTGATTGAAGTACTAGTTCTATCACTATGATGATGATTATTACTAATGAAGGACGCGCAGGGATGTATAGGAACAAATGGAGATATGTAGGGTTCAGGGGCCTGAATAGTTAGATTGTTGAAGAATCAGTTGGAATATGTAGGGGCGATGTACTACTTTCATTTGGGATGCCAGTGTGCCCAATGTGGAGTCAGATCTTGTCATCCTTGGATACCCTAAAACCCTAAACCCTAAAGCCCTAAACCCTAAAGCCCAAACAATCAAACCTAAACCATAGTAAAGACCCTAAACCTACAGGTGGCCCTCCAGCTCCTACAGATTATGGAGGGCTCTCAGGTGGAGATCCGGCGCGAAGTCTTCAACGCTGCTGTGGAGGCTACTTTTGCAGCTTTTTAGGGTTTAGGGTTCAGGTTTTAGGGTTCAGGGTTTAGGGTTAGTAGATGAATTAAGTCTGGACATGGCATTCCGGCGAATATCAGCAGGTTCGGGGTCTAAGAATTCATGGTTAAAAAGAAGCCACCGCAAGCCATTTCTTCTCCATCATCCGAACAGCCCGGTCAAGTGAAGCCCGCGCTTATGAGTGGGATCCCATTTTGCGTTCTTCACAGTGGGAGTCAACACCAGAACCTTTTGGGCCGTCATTTGATAGAAGTTGCCAGGTTTGAGTTTAGTTCTTCTTGTTTCTGGGAATGAAGGAAGGGTCCTTTCTGTGGCCCTGGATAATGCCTTGTCACCTATATTCCCCAACAACTACCAAGCCGTATTGGGCTAAACTGTAAGTCCTGCATATTGACCCGTATGCCTTCTTAACAATTGATTTCTTGAACATTGTCATCGCCCTGCCATTTTCACAAATGCCGATGTACCCCACATCATGAACCCGCAGATTTTGCACTATATGCTAGCCGCCACCATGGAACCCTACAGGAAGCTTTTGGGATGTTGTCAGTGCGGCTGTAAGTAGGGAATCTAGACGTTCCCTGAAACCCTATGTACGCGCTTATGCCATCCATGGATCCTTTCCGTAGTCCCTTTCTAACCCATCGTAGCAGTTTCCGTTTTCTTTTCCATTCCTAGCTAACCAAGGTAAGTGAAGTCATGTGTCTCTGTGTAGGCCTTCGGGCGAGGCTTCCGGTGGCAGTGGGCTCTCTCCGTATACCAGCGCTTCTCAGCAGAGTTGGGTGCTTCCAAACATGGGGGTCCCCGTGTGTGTAGGGACTCCCAACTTTCAAATTCCGGAAATTCGGTTAAAAGTAAAGAACTCTGAGACCTGATGCAAAAACGGTTTGGAGTTCTCTTGGGGATGCGCCGTAAAGCCTAGAAGGCTCGTACAGGCTTTTCTCAGAATGGTGGCTGTTGTTGATGTCCCTTGATAAGTCCAAGGCGCTGTGGTTAATCAAGCTTCATCCTACAAGGTATACTCCAAATGAGAGCTATACTGGCATAAGGGCACCTGATTCCCCCTCCCTATTTTGGAACTGCTTCTAAGATCATGGGACTGTATGAGAGGTCTTGACATTTGCAACACGATGCCCCGAGCATTGCGCAAGGTGGTATGAGCGAGAAGAAGAGATCCATCAGTAGGTTTCAAAACCCCAAGCCTAGAACCACAGCCCCTTCATATCCCCCCCTTATAAGAACACACCCATGCCCCTAATACCAGCCCCCCCCCGCAATATGAGACCATTATGTATTTGGTGGAATTCTTATTATTAAGCTTAGGGGGGGGGGAGTCTGCTATGAGGCGGAGGTGATTACAGAAACCCTGAGCTTCATAGGGTTTGCAGACGCTGAGAAGAGGCATGAAAGAAGAACAACCAAAAAGCCCAAGCCCAAAAATAGATTTAACACCCAAACCCAAACCCTGAAACCTAAAGCCTAAGCAGATCCCAAACCTCAAACCTTCAAGTCCTTAAACCCTACACCCCCCAACCAAAATTGACTCGTAAACCACAAAACCTAAACCCTAAACCCTAAAGACCTAAACCCTAAATCCTCAACTCTAGAAACCTAAATCCTCAACCCCAAAACCTTAAAAGGTCCCTAAAAATACACTAAAACCCGAAACCC